TGATAAAAGTATGATAAAAAGAATAATAAAACAATAGTAATAATAATAATAATACAATAAACATAATTAATAATAATAATAATAATATATATATATATAATAATAATAATAATATAATAACAAAAACATAATAAATAATGATAATAACAAATATTAATAATAATGATAATGATAATAATAACAAAACAACAAATAATAACAAAACAAATATAATAATAACAACAACTTCCTTGGCCTCCCCCCAGGTAAACCGCCTCGCCACAGTGACGTGCGCGTGTTCGTGACCGTGGGACGCGACACGAACAGACCTCCGAGATTCAGGCAGAGGCGGTACGAGGCGGAGGTCCCTGAGGATGCTGCGGCTGGTGAGTGGTGTGGGAGGGAGAGGGAAGGGGGTGGGGGAGAGGGAGGGAGAGGGAGGAAAAGGGGGAAGGAGGGGAGGGAGAGGGAAGGGTGGGGAAGAATGAGGGGGAAGGAATTAGAGTGAGAGGGGGAGGGGGAGGATAAGAAGAAAGGGAGGGAGAGGGAATCGGCGAAGGAGAGGGAGAGGGAATGGGAGGGGGAAGGAAAGGAAGAGGGAGAGGAGAGGGAAGAAAAAGGAGAGAGAGATGGGGAGGGGGGCGGAGATGCAGATGGAGACAAGAAATGAGAGTGAGAAAGAAATTGAGAGGGAAACTCAGAGAGGACACGGAGAGAAAAAAGAGACAAAGAGAGAAGAAAAATATAAAAAACAACGTGAAAGAAGAAAAATAAAATTACATTCTTCCCACACACCGTGCTTATCTCCCATCCCTCGCAGGTTTGGTCGTGCTACAGATGTCAGCCAGTGATCCTGACGGCCCTGACGAGGCGGTGACGTACATGCTGACGGCGGGGGCGAGGGATAACTTCGTGATGAACCTGACCAGCGGGGAGATCACCGTGGCATCCGGGGCCAGCCTGGATCGTGACGTCACGCCGAGATATCAGGTCAGCTTGGGTTGCCGTTAGAATAGTGGAGTGAATGGTATGACTTGTTATTACGACTTTTAGAGGTTTCATATGTATCTATATTTTTTACGTATACCTTATAGGGCTTTTTATTTGTATATCTATCTAATCTATCTATATATCTATATCTATCTATCTATATATATTTTTTTTTCCTTTTTTTTTCTTTTTTTACGTATACCTAACGGCGAAGTTATTTTTTTTTTACCAACAGCTAACTGTGGCAGCCGTAGACAGCGGGGCAGAGACTCAACAGACCTCAACGACCACCGTGATTGTTAACCTTCTTGACGTCAACAACAAACCGCCCAAATTCAATCAGGTTAATATATACCGATACGATATTCCATTTTTCCCTTTTTTCAATTTTCCCCCAAATTTAAGCTTTTCTCCCTCAAAGATGCCATTAATCAGTAGTCCATATATGTTGGAGTTATTGGAGCAGCTTGAATTTTAAGATTATGAAGAAATTCTTGTCAGGTACACGTATATAATTGATTTAACAAATAAGCATTTTAGATGAATGTTCGTGTTGGTATATAAAAATCATCATACAAATAAGCATTTTGAGTGAATTTTGGTACTCTTTGTAAAAAAAAATACAAATAAGCATTTTTTTAGTGAGTTTTGGTACTCTGAAAAAAAAAAGATCCAAATAAGCATTTTTGAGTGAATTTTGGTACTCTTTGTAAAAAAATAATAACAAATAAGCATTTTTTAGTGAGTTTTGGTACTCTGTAAAAAAAATCATACAAATAAGCTTTTTGTTGAATTTTGGTACTCTTGTAAAAAAAATACAAATAAGCATTTCTGGGTGAATTTTGGTACTCGTAAGTAAAAGAATCATGCAAATAAACATTTTTTGGTGAATTTTGGTACTCGTATGATAAACAAAATCATACAAATAAGCATTTTTGGTGAATGTTACTAAAAAAACCATTATACAAATAAACATATTTTGATGGATTTTGGTACTCGTATGTAAAAAAAAAAAAATATATATATAAAATCCGCAAATAAGCATTTTGACAAACATCCACACATCATATTCACACCCATCATATACCACAACCACCCACACCCTTTACGTTCCAGGAATCGTACGTGCGGTACGTGAGCGAGCGCCTCCCGCCCGGAGAAAGGGTCGTCACCGTATCAGCCGTTGACCCCGACCTCGGCGCTGACCTCGTTTACGAAATCACCGAACCCGTGATGGCGAGGGACAAGACGGGCGTGGCTCTCGTGCCTTCGTCGCCCTATGATTATATCGGTGCCTTCAGGTAGGGGGGAAAGTGGGGTTTAGTTGGGGTGGTTTAAAAGTTGTGTTGATATTGTTATTTATTCTTATTATTGTTGTTGTTGTTGTTATCGTTATTGTTATTATTATTATTATGATTCTTGTCCGTAGATTTCAGAAAAAAAACAGACGGAGTTTACTCTGTGTAAGATGAATTTGATATTGAAACATAATTTCTATATAAACATAATCAACATTAAGTAACATGCTCCTTTATCCATTTCACAAAATGCATATAAAAATACACAGTTAAGGATGAAAACAACACGAAAAGAATATATACATAATATCCACCAACAGAAAAGACAGCTATCCCATTTTCAAGAAATATCCACTCAAATGTCAAATATGAATTCCGACTCACAAAAATGAAAGAAAATAATAATCGAAATCACGAGGTCAACCAAACACCCCAATATCTATAGCAAAAACTTTTAAAAGCATTCCCAATCACTAGGAATCTGTTCACATTTATTGAATCAACAGGAAACCTCTTCACAGATCAACAGACCAAAGTTTCCCATCCACCTCTTCAATTCCCAATCCATCTATATCCATAACAAATCCCACTCGCCTCTTCACTCACGTCCGCCCACCGCCCTTCCCACAGCGTGAATGAGACGACGGGCGAGATCTCGGTGGCGGGAACCCTCGACCACAACGCCGCCGCGGTCATTATTCTCACCGTGAGCGTCACCGATAATAATGCGACTGAGGACTTCCCGGGCCAGACTGATACGAGTATGTGGTTGTGGTTTTGGGGGGTTGTTTGTGTGTGGTTGTGGTTTGTGTTGTTGGTTTCTTTGGTTTATTTTATGTGGGGTTTTAGGTATTTTTTTTTTTGGTTTGTCTTTTTGTTTAATGGTTATTTGGTTATTTTTACCGATTATGGTACTTATATTAATATTAGTTATGTTATTCGCAACTGATTTACCGATAAACCATTAAATCAAAAGTAAACGTAACAGAATAAAAAAATATCGTCAGTGTTCCTTTGTAACGCCCTCCTTCCCCCAACCAAATATAAAAACTATTTTTTTAGATGAACAAATAAGAATATACATTTCTAAAATAACAAAAAAGTAGTGCTCCCGTAATTTTAACAAAATCGCCCCCCCCCAAAAAAAAAAAAATAATAATGATAAATATTCTTTTTCCTTTCACCTTGGCGTCTCCCAGCTGAGGTAACCATGTACGTGCAAGCCTTCAGTGACCAGAACCCCATCTTCGCCCCGCCCTGGACCCCCGCGCGACCCCAGCTGGAGGTCACGGTCAAGGAGGAGCAGGAGCTGGGGTCCGTCGTGTTCTCCGTCACCGCCAAGGACCCCGTGACAGGTGGGTGGGGGGCTGCGAGGGGGATTCTGGCGTGAGATGCGGTGTTGGGGCATTTTCGTTGTTGGTGATTTTGGTTTTGTTAATTTTGTTTATGTGATAATCGTCGTCGTCATCGTCACCATCATTATCATTATCGTTATCATCATTATCATTACCATCCTTATCATTCATCATCATTATCATCTTCTGTCATCTTCCTTTTATCATTTCGCCTAATATCTATCATACTGCATTTCCCCTTCGCTTTTACCTTCACGTATTCATCGTCTCGTCTCATCTTTCATTCATCTTCTCGTTCCACCTTCCACTCATCATCTCGTCTCATCTTGCATTCACTTTCTCTTATTTATCCTTTCGTCTCGGCTTATCTTCTATTATCTATCGTTTCAACTTCATCTCCTCGTCCGTAGGTCAACCGGTCCGGCGCTACGAGAAAGTGTCCGGCTCCGACCCCGTAGACATGTTCCTGGTGGCTCCGATCACCGGCCAAGTCACACTGAACTCTCGGCTGGACTACGAGGCCTCGACCACCAAGGTTAGGGCGCACATCTTTTCAAAAATTGTGTTGTTTTTTGTTGCTTGAGCTTGATTGTCGTATGTTTTCTTTTTTTTGTTTTTTTTTTGTTTTTCTTATTTTCTTGGGTTTTAAGTTTTGTGTAGAGTATTAGGGGAGTGGATTATTTTGAAAAAGTCGAAAGTAAACAATTGTTTTGTTTTCCTTTCAGACGACGTCCCTGCAGGTGCTGGCCATAGCGGGCGATCGTTCCAGCGAAGCGACTGTGACTGTCAATATTGAGGACGTCAACGATAACAGCCCCATCTTTACGGAAAATGTAAATATATTCCTCATTTTTTAAGTACTATGGATAGCTGACCTTTAAAATGTTCTCCGCCATTCTTTTGATGTTGGTGTGGATGCTTAATCCTCAAGAATTCTGTCGTATCTCTTTTTAAAGCGAAGTGGATATTTCTCTTTCCTCTTACCCTTCGCCCAATGTAGACAGCTCCCTTTGAAAGAATTTTCCTCTCTAACGACATCCTCCCTCCTACAGGAGTACCACGCCCGCCTCTCCGAAGACGCGCGCTGGCCCAAGACGGTGCTGACGGTGACGGCGACGGACGCGGACACGGAGGAGCACGGCCAGGTCACGTACACGCTGGGCGGCGAAGGGGCGCTCATGTTCGTCGTCAATGAGACTACGGGCGAGGTGGGTGGCTCGTGGAGATTTGTGAATTCATAAAGCAGGCAGGTCATGGATACAACTTAGGGTTTCCTTGAGAAAGAATGTCATTTATATACATAGATAGAGTAAAGGGGAAAAGAGAAAGACGCTTGCACTCACGTTAGAATAGCAGTTCTGCCTTACACTGGAACTCGCCTCAAGGAAGTTCTCCACTCGGACAGATTCGCGTGGCTCGAGGCGCCCAGTTAGACCGCGAGTCCACGCCCACCATCACCCTCGAAGTGACTGCCCACGACACCCCGATGGGCGGCATTAACCAGCGTAAAACCACAGTTATTGTAAGTGTTGTTAGCGCGTTTGCCTTGTTTTGTAAAACTTCTTTGTTTAAGAAATACAAACTGAAACCAGAATAGTATAAGAATATTAAAGAAAGTGTGTTACTAGTCCAAAATCACTAAAGCTTTGCATGAGTATTCTTCTTCACCATATGACGAAGTATTAATAAGTGATAAGGCAGTATTAAGTTATTCTTGAACACCGCAAAGACCGCACAAACACCTCCGAACACACCAGACCCTCAAGCCATGAAATTCCCCCTCCCTGTTCCCCTCCAGGTCGAGATCGAGCTGACCGACGTGAACGACGCGTCCCCGGTGTGGAGCGAGTCGTCGTACACGGCGGTGGTGCCCGAGAACACGCCGGTGGGGAGTCCGGTCACCAACGTCCTCGCGACCGACCCCGACCTCGGCATCAACGGCCTCGTCCGCTACCAGCTGCCGGAGCTCCAGGGCGAAGTCGATGGTGAGTTTGCTCGCTGGTGAATGGCGGAACTCGCGTCTATGAGGGTGATTTCAAGGGGTTGTTGCTTAATTTGTTTATGGATATGTTATTGGAATATGCAAAAAAACGTACATCTCCTTCAGGTCTGTTCTTCCTGGACCCCGAGAGCGGAGTGTTGTCCGTAGCAGCGCCCCTCAGCGGGAAGGGTCGCAACGAGCACTACGAGCTGACCGTACGGGCCCTGGATCAAGGCAGTCCGCAGCTCTACTCGGAGGCCACGATTCGCGTCCTCATTGGTGACGTCTCCACCAATGACGGCGTCCCGACGTTCGTTAAGCCACGCCCCAATGAAGGAGCGAGTGTCATGGAGGTACGAGAGAATTTATCGATTTTTTTCTTTCAGATTAGATACATCTGGCGAGGATCCCTAAGTGTATATTTTCCATATAATTTCGCAGAATCACACAAAAGGCAAAATGAGTATCAGATTTTAAAAAGCAAAAGTGATTAAAACGGTGCCCTTCCTTTTCCAGAACTCGAAGATCGGGACGGCCGTGTTCCAGGTGCAGGCCGAAGACCCCGACGACCCCAACACGCCCAACGGCAAGATCGTCTATTCCTTCCTCGACGACGGCAGCGACAACGGCGTCTTTGAGATCGGTGAGACATTTTCAGCTTTCGATGCAACTGTTATTCTCTCTCTCATACTAGCTGTAGATGTGCTGACACATTAGGATACACGTGGTTAGATAAGTAATAGAAGTAAAATGAGAGATAAGTGAATAGGTGGATAGGCAGAGTGTTTTCTAAAGTACATTGAATAGGCATACATACACCATATGCACTGCATGAGCTTCTCAACAGAGGAAATTTATATAAAACTTCAGCATTGAGCTCACTTTTTTTCATCTACCACCTCAAGATCCGACGACGGGCATCATAACGACCCGTGTAGCGCTGGACAGAGAGCAGCGAGCCCAATATACCGTGGTGGTCGTTGCACAAGATCTGGGTCGTCCTCCTCAGCTGGCTTCACGACTCCTGGTCATCAACATTACCGATGCCGACGACAACCTGCCAGCCTTTGTTAAGCTTCCGGTAAGTTGCCTAAGGTGTCTCGCCATGCTAAGTATTAAGGAGCCAGATATTTGGTTAATGATGTAAAGTGTGTGTATGAATTCTTTGCTTTGCCTTTGCGATCAACTTTATTAATCTAACTGTAGATGGATGAAATGGTTTGAAAACAAGAGGTTCTGTTTCCTGCCATAATGATATTTAGAGGTCATGTGAGTGAGAGTTAATGATACCCCATCTACCACCACCTTAATAAGGGTTTACTCCACAGGGTGAGAAGCCGATGGACGTCCAGGTGGAAGAGGAGGCCGCTCTGGACACCGAAGTCGCCTACGTAGAAGCGCGCGATGGCGACGTCGGCGAAAATTCCCTCATCAACTACCAGATTACCGGTAAGGAAGGAGCGGAAGAAAGAAAGAGCAACGGAGAGAGGGAATGTAGAGGAACGGGCGATTAACACGTCGATACCTGCAGATAAAAGGGAAGGGGGGAAAGTTGTGAGGAACAGAAGAAAAGCAACTAATGTCGGTTTTACATTGCAGACGGAAATACTGACGGTCTTTTCGGCATCAACCGGACGTCGGATAACAGAGGGATTATCTATGTAAAAGGTCGCATCGACAGGGAAAAGGTGAGTCATTCACACGTCTCAAGTCACACAATCATTATCTGTATGTCGGTAACTCAGCATAGCTAGAGAAAGGCATGTAAATGAGGTAGATACAACCCTTGGTACTGTAAAATTCCCATAGAATCTCTGCTTTCATTACGCGAAATTCTCACCGCCGCGAGCTGACACTGACCTGTGACTTTAACAAAAAAGATCATTTGAATAATAACGTAAAGGATAAGGAATTAAAAAGCCAGTGCAGCTTAGCTTCCCTGGTGCTCTGGCCCCTCGCACACTGCCTAGGTGGTCGATAGCTTAGGACGCCCCTGATTCACACTGATGGTTTACAAATTATTATTATTTTGCGTGTGCACGTTTGTAAAACTGCATGCCATGTATATGCAATATATAAAATTAGGCCAAATATATGTATATATAGGTATGAGAATACATATTCTTCTCTGTAAGGAAAATAACTTTCATCTCGTGTCTCTCTAGGTGGGGTCAGTGACCTTGACGCTGCTGTGTGGAAAGTACGGACGTCGGATGCCCGCGAGGAAGGCATACGACCCTACTGATCCCGCTATGATGCAGGTAATAATAATAATAAAAAAGATAGATAAATATAATAAAGGATAAGAAATAAAAGAATTAAAAAAAATCACCAAATTTATGCAAATTCCTTTCATACAATGTGGAAATCACCTTTCTGCCAACAAATACTTATCATATCGTCCTGTGTTAATGTTCTTTTATCACGCTTGTGTCCGTTCAAGGTTCGCGTTCTCGTGACTGACCTCGACGACAATAAACCAGCGTTCGCGAAGGACGTCATTACCACAGGAGTGCGGGTGGACGCGGCGCTGCAGACGGAGGTGGTGAAGCTGGAGGCGGAGGACAAGGACCCGACCGCGCTGCCTATCAGGTTTGTGCAAAATGGTGCCGTAAGTTTAAATGGCTGTGCGTTTTACAGGTCGACAAGGGCGTTGTAACTATTCAAAATGCCTTGTCAGTTACGGGTACTTGGAAATTCACATAGAAAGTGTATCCGACTGCCCAAAATGGAAGGGTGAAAAATATATCCTGAACTCGCTAAATCCCAGGGTTAACCCAACACTTGAGACAGTTTCGCTGATGATCAGAAGCCTACAGCCTTTAAACAGAATACACATTTGCCCCCAGGTACGCCATACACAACATCAGCTTCTCCCACATCGAAGACACTGTCGAGCTTCTTCCCGAAGAGGAGGTAAATGCCACAGGAGTCTTCTTGCTCGAGGAATCATCCGGTGTGCTGAGGACCAACGCCCCTCTCACCCGCTACGCTCACGGGATCTTCACTCTGTTCATTACCGCTTTATCGTCTCCTACTGATGACCCTGCGGTTGCTCAGGTCATGGTGGGTATCGTTGTTAGGTGTTTTATTTTCTGTTATTCATTTGTTTATTCATTTATTCATATTGTGTTACATCTCGTGTTGATTAGTGATACCCTTTTGAATAAGGCAGTATCAGTGAAGTTGATCAGAAATGAATGGCAGTTAAGTATGTCAAATAGACCTTTTGTTGCGTTATAATGTTTAAAAGCTTGTGGCCGCAAGATTTTTTTTTAGACAATACTGCACACTAGCTCTCTAATATTCTATACGTTCACCACACATTTTCCGACCGAGATTAGATACTGAACCACGTGGCCTTCATTCATTATCCTCCCTTTATAAATATTATTACAAAATAACGATGACGTAACTCATTCCAGATCTACGTGTTGCGAGACAGTGATCTTCTGCGCTTCGTGTTCGGGGTAACGCCCGGGGAGGTGCGACGTCAGCTGAACACCTTCAAGAAAGAGGTCGAGAATGTGTTGTTTGTGAACTCGTCTTTGAACATTTACGACACTACTTATTATACCGATGCCAATGGTGCTATTGATTTCTCCAGCACGGGGTGAGTGGAGGCAGAGCCAGAGGTCATTTGAAATGTTCATAATTTTTATCAGGTTCATACTTATTTTTGGATTACGTTGTAAGAATATTTCAAAATAATTTTATTGTTGAGATGTGATGAGCATGACAGTAATCCTTATTTTACCATGTACAAAGTTTTTCCACACTTGATTGCATTTATCATAAGGACAATTTTTTTTTCTCCAGGTCGTGCTTCCAGCTGGTTGGTCGCAACATGCGCGAAACAAAAGAGTTACTTGACCCTTCAGATAACTCGGCGTTGGAAAAAGTCTTTGGGAGATTTACGGTCAAAAAGGTTGAGGTTAGTCTTATCCTTTCTTGTCAGATTAGTTTTATTTCTCTTAGGGCAACAGTGTGTAAAATATTTGCTATGCAGCCTGAAATCAAAATACACCTTAAGTACTTTCAGTGATTAAACCAACCATGAATTATACTCAAAAATTAATAAATTAGCAACAACACAATGACTATCTGCCTATCTGTTTATCCGGCAATCTGTCTACCTGTCCCATTCTCTTGAGCAATGCAGCAACTGTAAACGCCATTGTTTTCCGCAGCGGTGCGTTCCCCGGCGCGAGTCTCGCCAAGCAGACTGGGTGGAGGTGTGGGTGTTGGTGATCGCGGCCTTCATCGGCGTCGGAGGCACTATCGCCGCCTGCTCCGTGTGCTGCCTTTACTCCCGCTACCGAAGACGCCTCAAGCGACACCAGCAGCACATGAGGTTACTCGAGAGTCCTCCTCCAGCAGCGCCAGTTCTCCCTCCAGGTTCCATCGTCATGCTGCCTCCAGGGCCTCCGCCCCCGGGGCCGTCGCACCCAGGGGGACCTCATGGCCCTGTCATGCCTCCGCCCTCCATGCTGAGCTCGGAGCCTCCTCGGTCGTATGAGTGGCAAGAGCGCGGGCTTCCCCTCGACACAGTGTCATATAGAAGCGCCCAGCGGTAGCTTAAGCTTCGTCCTGGTATAAGGTGCAATGTACAATAAGTCCTGCAATACATCATGTGCCTTCTTGTGCGAGTTCAGGGATCTGACAATAAGAATGGTCTCGAAATGATACGGGAAAGTGCAAAATCAACTGGGAAAGTATTTAACGTCCTCTAATTGGTACCATACGCAATTTATGCCTCCCGTTGTTAAATTATATTGTTGAAATATTAGGAATTAGGAATTTTAACAGAGAAGGGGAATTTGCCAAATATTTTCATTCCGGTATAAAAGGTTGTGTGATTGGGTTTCAACAGTATTTGACAAGTCTTTTTCTGTAAACATTCGCAACTGTCATTTGATATAACAGGCGCTTGTACAAGTAAGTGAACTTGTAATTATGTGTACATAACTTATACACTATATTAGTAATACTATTTGATAGACGTTTTGAATGGGTATGTTAGATTTTGCTCTAAATACAGATCTAAGCATTTACTTTAGATTATGAAACAATTATATTTTAGAATAAACCAAAAAAATGATATTTTTTTCATTTTCACCCTTTCATTATCCTGCAAGGTTGGTCATGATAAGAAATTCCAGATCACTTGCAGACTGGAGCAAATGCTGACTATGTGCACTCAAATAAGTATAAAGTGCAGTAACTGTGAACTTATCAGTCTCTTCTGTAATGGAATCAGAGCTATGGTATGTAATATCCAAAACCAGAATGTCTTTTTTGAACAGAGAGTACATTCTCGAGGCTATTAATTACTTTTTTATGAATGGAGATGTAAAGATATAACACTGAAATTATTTGCATTGCTGATGTTTAGAAGTAATCAATATAACACTTAAATTAATTGTTGAAATGTTTATTCACCTTGTATTTGCCTATTATCAATATAGTCACTGAAGATAATTCTGGAGAAACTTAACTTTTTTATTTCTTTTACATTTTGTTTTATGTATGGTAACTGATTTTTATGTAAAAATAATCAGTTTATGAAGTTGAGAAATTAATGTGCTGGTGAAGAATTACCTTGTAGTACATAAAAAAATGTAATTCTTATTGAAATAATAACATCAACCACAATTCTTCTAACTTAAGAGAGGATAATATGCATACTTTAGTATAGGTAAATAACTGTGTGTTTTGCTGCATTTGCAATGATGAACCAAACTAAAAGGCAAGTCAAACAAAGTATTTAAAGCACCGTAATATTCATTTCTTCATCATTTACATAGATGGCTAGAGTATTTCTACATTGTTAACATTGTCATTGTAGGCCTTAACGGATATCAATCTGATGGTCGAATTCACTGGGATGTCCCTCACAGATGTCTTGCTTTTCATAAATACTAATACTTTTGCTGAAGTATCACTAAGTCAAGAAAGTGCAAAAATGGCCATTACTTGAATCAGCATTCCAACTTGGGGGTTTCAGTAAACACAGAAACCAGAACAAGTGTACACTTTGACTCTCAAAGCATCCGTAACCAAGCTAGAAAAGAGTGAATGAATTGTCTGCTCACTCATCACTCAGGATGTAAAATATTATATACAGTTTGTGACAATAATCACTAGTGAAATATCCATGACATTTCAACATGAAATACTTTGGTGGGAATAAGAAGCCAAGTCATTTCAAATGAAAAATGGAAGAAAAAAAAAAGCAAATGAGAAAGACAAAGGAATCTGAATATGATCTGCAACAGAGGATCATAGGAGCTAAATCTATACTGTGGTAACAGGTGACTAGAAAATAAAAATGAACTCTCCATGTTTACTATCGAAGGAAAGCAAGTTGCACAACAAGCACTTACTCACATGCTCATTAACGCTTAAGAATTCTGATTAAAGGTGTCATCTGGGACACAACAGTACATTTTTTTCCATTTTTGTTTTTAATCTAGTGAATACTGATTAAAGCCAATGTTTACACATTCTCTTTCTACATCTTTTTGAAATGTTCTCTTTAGTAACCATTCAACACACAACAATCAATTATCTACACATTCTGCCCTACAGTATCTCATTTTCCCAATTCAAATACTCAGCTAAGAGTTATGCTCTATTCATGCTACTCTAAGCTACCCATCTTTTGCCATAATTAACGCTCCTAGGACAAATATAAGGCAAAGATCACATTAACCCTTATAATAAAGGTAAAAACTGCAAATATGATTGACCAACTGGAATAGACGCACAAAATATTTGGCTCATTAAAGGCCAAACAGGTCAGCCAGACAAAGGATTTCCTATGGGAATACAACAACACATTTCACAGACACATGCAAATGATCATACATTTAGTGCAGAAAGTTTTTCCACAACTGGTTTGAAAGCAAGATGACACCAATAAAGGAACTCGAGTACCTTCATTCCAGTCTTCTAGGTTTTCAATTGAATGACAAAAAGAAAAAAATGTACACCTAATGATACAACTACATCATACAATCGAAAGTGTAACAATGGCAATATCTTAAAAAAAAATAAAAAATAAAATAGCCTCCTGATGAAATAAAGTCATCATAAATTTCTTGCATCAAAAATTCTCCAATAAGAGAGCACACTTATTCATCATAAATCACTGTATTTCAAAATACACTATAACTCATTACATAACAAGTTTATTCAAATTATCCTAAGTTATCATCATTCTAATCATCAACAATCAAATGTAATAAAAATCACAAACCATCGGTGGTAAGGTGCGGTGGGTGAGGCTACAGACTCGCATGTCTTTCTCTCACTATCACTGGGCAGAGTCTACTCAAGTATGTACAAATACACTAAAACTTTGAATATTGGCTGAGGAAAATAAAATGTTTTAACCCCTGAAGTATCACAGAGTTTGGAGCTACATGTGCACGCACAATAGAAAAAAACGCAATTTGTTCTCTGTCTTCTTTCATACACAATTACTTGACCTGAAATTATTCTAATTCATATACTTCTAATATGAATAATTTGGAATTGTTTGGGGAGATGCCTTCTGCAGTGTTCACCCAGTGTTCACACATACCTGAGAACAACAATTGCCAATTTTGTCCTTTAGGGGTTAAAGGGGACAGAAAGGGGAGTGGGATGGGGAAAGAAGAATCACAAGCAGATATAAAAAAATATGTGATTTAGGTGGCTATACATAATCCATATACTCCTGATGAGCTATCCTGACAACAATTTCTAAAAGTCTGCTTAAATATTCTGTCAGGTGACCTATGACCTACATGATAAAAACCATGACAATAAAGATCTCTTAACTCTCTTTTCTAGAATACTACTCATAAAATGAAAACATGCATATAGTGAAATAAAATATCTAACTTAAAAACAACAATCAATGAAAGAAAATTCTGAATAAAGGTATATTAATGCCCTTGATCCGTGTACTGATTAATAATGTTACTTTTCATCAGAGCCATCATGTTAATGACAGATGATCAGTCATGTCTAAAGGAACATTTTGCTTTTGGTTCATTCACTTGTTTATAGTGTTCTCATTTCTCCTAGTTCACAAACAGTAGGGTGAAAGATAGCTGAAAAATTTGGCTAAATTAGCTTCTGTGACAATTACCTTTTCTGAGGGCAACATCATACACTTTAAATGATAAAAAAACTACAAGCTTAACTATTCCTGAATTACAGGTTTCCTCTCTCAACTGGCAAGCCAATTTCAGAAGTACAGAGGGAGTTTTTGGCCTATGTAAGATCCCTCAATATCTATAATAAGTGAATATTAAAAATATATATCTCAACACTTAAAAAGAATTGGTAATGATTATCCAGTATTTGTTAAAATTATTGAAGTTGAATTACAAAACATAAAACAATGATAGCATGCAACAGAATTAGTTATATTCATTCAAATGAAAACAAAAGAAATTCAACAAAATTCCTGGCAAAAAAATTACATTACTTATTTTAAAATGTTATTCAGCTATCCTGTGGAGAAGCTGCAAGCTACATCCTTTGCATTCTTATGCCAAAACTCTTGACATGAAGCCTAAGCTGGAGAGTCTGCAAAATGAGAAGCTGTTTTGTGTGTAAGAATTTTTGTGGTTAAAGCAGTTAAATACTTGTGGCTATGGGAGATTAAAAAGTTCTGCTATACATTTCCTTTGTCACCATTCTTCAGGAACTTGAATCTTGTGCACTAGTGCAGCACATACACTCGCTTTCCTAATAATAACATCAGTTATTTAAATTTGGTCTAAAACAATAAATTTTGAGATGGTCAGGCTTAAGATAATCTTTATCATATTCTCAACATTTTTGCTCATACTTCAAGTGAGAAACTCTGATTTTAGCCACATGTTGCAAAGTTTCCAGTCTGGTGCCAAAGTAATGTTATTTTACAAGCATGAGTGACTAGGTGAATGAAACCTAAATGTACATCAGCATTATATTTTGGAATGCAGTGTGTCTTCAACCTTAATAAGATGAAATACTTATATCCTCAGCCTTGAGCATAAAACATCAAACATGCAAATTCAGTTCCTTACCATTCAAGACTTCTTCTTTGTCAAGTGTACAGCTGTGTTAAGACTATATTCAATGGCAAATGAGCAATTCCTTCAGAGTGGTTTATACAATCCTCTTGGTCCCTTTCTAAGCCTGTTTGTACTATATGCCATATGAGAAGGGATATTCAAGATATCTTTATATCCACCATTGGTTCCACTACTAGGATTATTGGGTGACTAAAAAAAAAAAAGTAGAAGCATGAAGCATATGAAAAATAGCATCCTGAAGACTGACAATAGTCCCTCTATCAGGGAATGACTGAGCAAGTAAAGAGATAATTGTTCAAACCAAAAGGACTGAATAATCCAGGGAAGTGTGGGCAATTCCAAAACATATAAATAACCTGGCATTTTCGTAATCTAAAAGTACTCATTTGTTTTTTACCTGCTCTTTGAAAATTTCTTTCTAAAACAACAATAACCTCAGTTATCTTTGTTTTGAATACAGAAAAAGAACAAATAAAAGGATCTGTGAGCTATTAACTCTCCATGATTTTTTTTGGTGCAATTATATGATATATATAGTAAGAACATCATCTGACCCATCATACACAAAAAAAAAACAAAATAAAAAAATCTTTCCAATGATAACACAGCACCACATCTCTGCCACTCTACAAATCATAAGACTACCTGGACAAATCTTCATCTCTTCAACCATCAGGGTAGCAGACAAAAACTGTACTTGTTAAATCTTCCAAGCCATTCAAGAGTATTGGAGTTCAAAGCCATGGTTAGAAAGGGCTTCCAACTGTTAATCACATTACACTTATTCGACACTGGGAGGGAAGGGACGGAAACAACTACGGGACGAGGACCTTCCAGTCGTATCTCATATTTGCCGAGTGGGTCACAGGAGGGAAGGGAGGTTCGAGGAGCGACCAGGCGCCAGACGTCTCCTGGCCCACAATGGAAAAGGAACAGTAGGGAACCTGTTGGGAAGCAATAAACAATCTGTTAATAGTGGAAGCATCATGAGTGGGAGTGGGGGTGGGGGGGGAGCCTCCTGGAGATTAAATTAATTTAAGTCCAGATATTAAAATGTTAGTAATGTTATGAGCAAGGAAAACAAAACAATATTCAAGTAGCATTAGTTAGAATGTAAACATTTTGTTACTACAGGTATTAGGTATAGTATATGTATATATATATAGATATATATATACATATAACATATACATATATATACATATATATATATATATATATATATATTATATATATATATATATATATATATATATATATATATATATACATACATATATATATATATATATATATATATATATATATATATATATATATATATATATATATATATATATATAGTATATATATATATATATATATATATATATATATATATATATATATATATATATATATATATATATATATATATATATATATATATTATATATATATATATATATATATATATATATATATATATATATATATATATTACATACATATATATATATATATATATATATATATATATATATATATATATATATATACTATATATAGTATATATGATATATATAGTATATATATAGTATATATATATATATATTATATATATATATATATATATATATATATATATATATATATATATATATATATATATATATATATATATATATATATATATATATATAATATATATATATATATATATATATATATATATATTATATATATATATATATATATATATATATATATATATATATATATATATATATATATATTCGTGTACATGAAGAGATCTTAAAGGAAAGCAATAATAACAGGAATGAATCAAGAAAGAAATTTATTCTTTTCAGAAAGAGAAAGTAAGGAACAGCAGTAAGGCATTTTTGTCTTTCGGTATAATATGTATAACACACAATAATGCTTTTTGAAGCATGACAATGACATTACATCTAGCATCCTAATCATCAAGAAAATATCCTATTCTGATCTGCTTCTAAGAAAATATAAAGAAATAGAACACAGAGAAGGAAAAACAAACTAGAACTCACCAGAGAAAGAAAATATAAATTGTTCTGCGCAACTAAGGACATGACTACAAACATTCCATGTGAAATAATATGAAAAAAGTCATGCATCTTTCATAATAGGCTGAAGGCCTATTCAGCTTTCAATTTTGCTTTATTTTTATTTAATTCTATCATATCTGAGTGGGAAGCAAATGGCAATCTTATATGGTAAACAATAAAATGTTTTTAGGAAAACACACAATTAACAACATGAATCTTTAAATACTAGAAATCTATCACAGGAAACATATATTATAAGAATAAAATATCACATTCTAAGCTTTCAATAGACTGAAACATTAAACAAAGTAATACGTTTTAACCAAAAGGGCAATATACCCCAATGGCTGCAAAAAGAATCTAGCCATTTTCTTGATTAGTTGTAACGGGAAAAGATGAAAGAGAAAGAAAAGACTTGATCAGAAAGGGTAAATGAATGAAACTTTGTAATGAAAGTTATTCAAGGAGAAAGAGTACTGCAATGAATAGCTTTTATACTTATAAAGAATAGGAAACAAATTCATGAATTATTAAAGAAAATCAGACATCATTTTGGTCTCTGTAAAAGATACCTGGGGATGCCACATCATATCATTAAAAATAATATTTCTTTCTATTTAGCACCTCAGGCTGGGTTTCCTCATGCACTGGTGGAGGAGATCTGAGTACATGCTTGAAAAAAACACTGAATTAGATAAATGAACAAATTCATAAATCAATAAACAATAATAATAATTCAAAAGTCAAGACACACACTACTCTGGCGCTTCACTGTTGCCATTAGCCTTGCATGGGGTAAGGGCAAGGAGGAGAGGCCAACGCAGCAGCCATTCAGCATTTTCATCTTTTCCTGAACAATGATTAGGCAACTACTCATACCTTTATCATCTGAGTGAAAAACAATATATATATACGTGTGATCAACAAGAGCTTAGATCCCTTGGCCAATCTGCAAATAACTTCTTTTATTTAATACAAAGCAGCCAAAACATAACAATTGCCGACAACAAAGCATATGAAATCATATCCATATTTTTTATTTAAAGAAAATCAAAAGGAAAAAAAGTTGACCAATAGAGGTAGATGTATAGCACTTAGGTATTATAACAATAATCCTAATATCCAGAGGGAGTCATTTGCTTCTCACTGGATGAATTGCAATAAAACTCTTGAGAATTGCAAATCAATAAATATTAATAAGAGTAACTGTACTATTACACATCCAGACCAAAGGAACATTCAGTAATCCTTAACAAAGTACACTGACCATCAATATTAAAATTTAAAGTATGTCACTGTTTAAGGTAAATGCTGATATTACATTCATAACGATATATAAAATATTAAACATTTCATGATTATGAGTTAAACCTTAAACTTTTACACACTTCCTAAGAAGAGACATCAATTTAAAACTCTCTCTTTTAAACTCAGATTGATAGAGTAAAAAGTTAAAGCAGTGTAAAGTTTGACAGAGTGAAGGATATGAGATGGAAAAATAACAATGACAGAGGCTTTGAGACAGAGACTTTGAAAGAGAGCTTGATTGAGAGAACAATCCATGCTATATATTTTAACTTTTAAAGTGGGAAGTCATCCCTTTTAACATATGACTTTATTACTTTGTAGATTTATTGGGCATGTAAACTTCAACGAGTAATTAATAGGTATACTGAAATTATGTAATTCCATTTTATGCCTTATTTGTATAAGTATAATGTGTATTTTCTAAGACGTTAACTAATTACTAGTCAAAGATACATACTCCAAATTATTTAACACAAGAGAAAGAAAGTAATGCATACTACAGTATTAATGTAGTCTTAAAGATTTGACTAGATAACCAGCAACATAACTACGACAAGGATAATCTTACATAGTCTTGATGCTTCCTCAGTAATAATTAGAAATTCACATTCTGATTAATAAGAATAAGATACACTAAAGATTTACTTCATATTCCTAATCAGATATCCTGCAAGTATAAAAAGAAAGAAAGAAAAGAAATCTGACTCTTTTAAAGATAATTCAGTACACAAATATTACAGCAAACTGCTTTAAGGGGTGCTATACACCTAGAGGGTCTCCAATGGACAAACACATAAAAAATCATTTCTAAGCAAAAAAGATAAACCTTGCTTCTCCCATCAATACAAGAGGATTCTCCAGTCATAATGAGCTTGTCCAGTATTCGAAACAGGCATGACTGGCTGAACCAGAGACCACCGACTCGAGGGCAATTCCACAACGGCACTTGTGGAGCAGTACGGAATCTGTGGTTACAAGAGGAAGTTATACAATGGCTGGCTTTTTATTGTGACAGGATAATGGCAGTTACATTGAATGCATTTTCATACTTTCATGCTTTGTGGTTTTTCCTTTTTAAAAAAATATTTGCATAATCTATATGATTTATCAGAGAAGAAAAATAGTACACATTACTTATTGAAACTGAAATTAGAATCTTTCACAAATGAAAACTGCCTCAAGCCATCCTATAGGTATCAAAGAAATAGATCACACAAGAAATTGTACTTAATCATTTTAGTTAATCATATGGTACCAATAAACTTCACAACACACCTAACAATGATAAAAAGTCTCTAAAACAATGGTTACAAAGAAAAGCAAAAGCGCATCGTACATTCCTGCCCATGAGCCTTTACAAAAGCAACAAAGCATCAGGCTTGCAAATAGAAACACAATAGTCAATGAATGGCACTGAATGGCAGATTCTTTTTTCATATTCCTTACAGGCCAAAGTCAACAGACAGATAGTGTTGGTTGCTGTTTTTTTCATTCCTTTTTGGTTATCAGTGTTATCCTCTATCTTAGCTACCCTTTCTACCATTATAAGAATCTATTAATATTTATTTGTTTTGGAAATATAAAATCATTTCTCCATGGCTTTCTGATTCCACAATTGTTAAATTCTAAATAAATAAATAATGGCAGTGATTAACTACAGGTGAAATTTTGATATATTCTTTTTATGAAACTATACCTCAGTACATAAAAGAATACACATGTGTTTATATGTACTTAAAATGTAAACTCTTCTGTCCACTAAATTTCAAATACTTTAAAATCTGCAAAGAATATCTGCTGCAACATCTGCATTAGATATTCTTCATATAACTGGAAGACAGTACAACTAACTATGAAAATTCCAACAAATCAGTAAGCAATAAACAAAATACCAGAACTCTGACACAAACTAAAGCTTGCCAAAAACTATCAGGTTATAAAAGAAGCAATAAACAGGCACAAGAACTTGATCCTAAAATGAAACAGCTTTATAGTTCCTATCCTAAAGTAATCTATGCCTCTTATTCATCTTGCAATTCCTACTGTGTATATCTGCTAGGGTTGATATCTTGATAAAACAAAGTTCAGCTCTGAACTTTTGTGGTATCAGTCACAATGGAAGAAGTTTAATCCTATGCCAATATAATCAAACCCCTTTAAGAATGAACACATGGAACTTCAAAATTCCATTACATTTTATCAGCCTCAGTAAATCAAACTTTCAAGACAAAGCAAGCTATTAGGAAAGCTTTAACATTTTTTTTTACATATTCAAGTTACTGAAGGAAGCTTTGTGCAGAAATCCATTTCAGTACTATTTAAATAAAAAAACAAATATCTCTCGCACTTTAACAAACTGTCCTTGGTTAAGAAAAAATAAGAAAAATTATTGAAGCATAAAGCCTATGAACATGAGAGCTCAAATTTTATGAGTGGTGGCTGGATATATACTACATGCAGTTTTTCTGTATCTTTGTTGGTACAAGGCAGTGTCATTAATTTTCTGTTGGCACCTACTAATATAGATTTTTGATAAATTCTGTATAATTTTGTGATCAGCCTTGAAAAAATCATATCTATCATATCATGTAATAGCATGTTACATACTCAGCCATCATGTATTAATAATTTCCACAGAAATGGTAATTGCGCAGTTACTGATGAGATACAAATGCAGACAAATGGATCTAAAGTGATGTTTTATGCTAATTTCTGTAAATATAGACAGATGGAACTTCAAATCTTTTGTTATTAAAGCTTGAAAATGGCTTTCTTTTTCATATCCTTCATAAAAGCACAAGATATTGATATCTTATACTAGCAATTATGCAAATTTTATATAATGTACTTAAATCAAGAGCCATACTCTCAATATTAGTCTTTTACACAGATGCCATACGTCAACAGCTGAATGACTGTCGAACGTTAAAACTCACTTGAAATAATTTAAGCATCCATCCTAAGTGTAAAACTTACAAGCGCAAACAAGCAATCTGACACCCCCCACCCCCATTTTCCCTCCAACAAATGTGCAAGTCGCAACATGGAAGAGGTCCCTTTTTCAGAAGAGAACTCTCCAGTCAAACTCCATAATGCCAGAGTAGGTAACAGGATTAACTTCAGGAGGAGAAAGTCTCCACTGGCCACAGTCTGTCTCTTCTATCTTAGCCGTGCACCCGTAGGGAACCTGTCAAGCCAAAGTCCTCTTCAACATCAAAGAATCTGGGACAATGAGCCATCAACATCATGTTTCTTTCATGTTATGCAACATCATTAAACCTTTCTTTCCATTTTTAAAGTTTTGGTTTAGGACACAGCATTTTCAAAAGCTTTAAGTATAGACATTCTGAAAACAGATAAGATAAAGTTATGATAAGTTATCCTTCCATCATATCATTTTTTTCTCTTAATATGGGCTTAACTTATTAACCATTAACCCATTGCCTCTGGGTATGGCATGCATATATATGCCATGTCCACTGGGATTTTAGTTTATTATCTATTATTTGTGTTTACCCATAGAAGGCTCTAAAACTGCATAGTAACCAAGGAGAAAGTTACTAGTTCAATCTATCTCACCTATTTATCCTTTTCCTTGATTTTTGGAAATTGTGTTTTCTATTTTTTCATTGCTATTATTTTGGGTGACAGAGATACCTAGTCATGAACAAATTTGATCGAGGAGCAGGTGATAGGAAAATCTCGTCTGGGGAAAACTTCCACTGGAGGCCAGGTGACGAGAGAATCTTGCCATAGGATATTGCAGCCAAGTAGCATTGCAAAGCGGTGGCAAGTAGTCTTGATATTACACATGAGTGTGTGTCTGGACCTAAACCTAATGCCCAAATTTTAGTCCATGTGTGAGTCACAAGGCATAATGTGAATAAAAATAATAACACACAATAAATAGCATTAGGAAAGGCTTTTTTCCCTGAACTCAAGCAAAGGGAAATTCAGGTGAGGTCATGTACATTTCACAAAGTAAAACTACAGTGGACATTACATGATCCCAATAGCAATGGGTTAGAAGAAACTTCCACACTTCCTTTTCATTACAATCAATTATCATATCTGGAAACTCAATTTTACTTCAGACAGAAAAAACAAGAGTAAAAATATAACAAATATTTCATCAAATAGAACCTCCCTTCCCAAATATAAATAAACAAATAAATTAATTAATTAATCAATAATTTGATTAAAAAAGAAACAATATTTTACTGAAAAAATGCCCACTTAAAAAATAACCTACTCATGAGTGAAAAATCAGAAAATCAACCCAGATCAAGAAATAACAGCTTGAGTATTCTAGAAATATGCCCCTGAGTCATTTTCAATATATTTCTATTTAGCAGAGCACAATTAATTGATTATAAAAGATATCAATAATTTTATTGTATTATATTTTTCTTTTCAGGAATATTCCTAATGATAAAATCAAAATAATAAATTGATTAAATAATAAAAACAAAAAACAAACAAAAATTAAGTCAATATTCTTATAAACTTAAGTCTTAACTTGCAAATAAGGTTGCATATATTTCTATATGTGAGAATATTAATTCTTATGTGAGGAAGTGCTCAGGATACAAATATTGACACACACAGCACACATACACACACACACACACACACACACACACACACACACACACACACATGTACACAGATTATAAAATTGTTAGTTTATATTAAAAATCATAAACAATTAATGTATATTTCTAAATAACATACTTATGAGCAAGATAGTATCATAACTTTCAAAATTCTAATAGCGTACTTTAACCAACATATCATTTGTATTTACTCATTTATCACTAATTACATATGTTATATTGATTAGAATCTGTAACACAAACAAGCAAACACACACACATATTCATATATACACACATACACACACACACACACACACACACACACACACACACACGCACACACACACACACACACACACACACACACACACACACACACACACACACACACACACACACACACACACACATCACACACACACACACACACACACACACACACACACACACACACACACACACACACACACACACACACACACACACACACACACACACACACAACATACTCACTGCAAATTCAATATTAATAATTATATGCAAATAGAACTGCATAACTGAAGCCAAGACTTGATTACAGCTAATATAAAGTGGTCCTCTTATTTTGAGATCTCAGATTTATATGCAATCTCTATCAATTTTAGCCTTTTACAATATGATTCAAATGGATTAGGTTTAATACATACTATGTTCACTCAGAACTCATTCTCCACTTGACTTTCAAACATATACAGTCTGCATTCAATGCTCTCATTTCCCAATGTAAATTAAAAAAAATTTTAATACATTTTCTGAGATACAGAAAAAAAGTATTTGTAAAATATATGTACATCTAGATTGTATATAATAACAATACCTTGTACATACAATCACGATGATTAATCTACAAGAAAGCTCACTTGCTGAAAATCAAAAATCTTAGAAAACGGCATAACAGTTTTAGTTCACTCACAAGCTCTAGCTTTCACTGCACCTGCAGCCAACAGAGCAATCCAAAGGCAACAATAACCAAAATATGTAAAATTCAAAAGGAAGGGACAGCTTCAAGAAAATAAACAAAACTGGGATAAAACTCTCAAGGTAAAAAAAATAAAGCACAAAAGTAAGCAAGCACACCTCCACTTCTTGTCGATAAACTGCCGCAAGATTGGATGAACACTACAGGCTCTAGAGAGATGGAAAATGCAAGTAAAGGGCAACGGAAAGATATTATAAAGCAATCTGTCTCTTTCCAACTTTGGCTCTATGGGCTACTTCTAGTCCAATGAACAAGTGTAATGCTAGGGTCAATATACTTCAAAGTATGATATGCCAAATAAAGTGCAGAAGAGGAACAAAATTGAAGGGGAGGGGGAGGAGGTGGAGAAGAGGGGGGGGGGAGAGGTGGAGAAGAGGGGGATGGGGAAAGGAAATGGGAGAGGGGGAGAGGTGGGGGAGGGAAAAGGGGAGGGGAGGAGGAGAGGAGGAGGAGGGAGGAGGAGGAGGAGGAGGAGGAGGAGGAGGAGGAGGAGGAGGAGAGGAAGAGGAGGAGGAAGGGGAAAGGAGGAGAGGAGGAGGAAAATAATAAGGTTGAGACGGAGGAAGAATAGAATGGATGAGAAAAAGAGATAATGGAGACATCACACAAAGCTTAAAATCCTTGTAATTTGACTCTGGGTGGACTTGGGTTCTAGATGGAGCTATCAAATGACAGCCATTTCTCCATAAACATTAGTCTAGACTGACTGGTTTGGTACTATGACATTATATAATAGGAAACTAATAGTGATGAGAAGAGGGTACCTCAATATCACAATTCCATTTGTACAAGCCAAAATTCCTCTAATTTGCAAAATACATAAAATGAACGCTTGCATAAACATTAAGTAGGTCACTTTCTAAGTATGATTAAATTTTGTAAAAGTTATCATGAAACTCCAAATCTGAACCCACTTTCCTTGTGAAGGAATATGAGTTCAGAGCCACTTTTCAAGCAAGAAATCTAGAACGGCACATTATGGGTGTTCAAAATCCAATATATACACTATCAAGCACTATGTGATAACTCCTTAAAACAACCTAATATTAAGCAAATCAACTGTACACAACAGTTCTTATGTTATTAGACAATAACATAAGAACTCATTTAACTACTTACAAGACTGAACAGTTCACTGTTCATATTTTTTTTGTATGTGATGTTACTCTAATGCATACATTCAACAAGATACAAAACTTTAGCTTTACTTTTCTACAAAAAATTAACAGCAAGTAACTCATGGAGCCAATTCAGAGGAAAGAGATGCTAAACTTATAGATAAATACAATGTAAAAAGTCATAAAAAGTAGTACAAGAGATGCGTTAGCACATCAGAACAGATCAAATTTTAAAAAGTAAAACAAAACTTTCTGGAACAAAGAAATTTCCTGAAACTGCCAGCCAAATATTAAAACAACTAGTCACAATCTCAACTGAGAAGTAACAGGAAATCTATTAACATAAATATACAAATAGAGGTTAATAAGAGAGAAAGAGAGAGAGAGAAAAAAAAAATCAAGACATCACAATTGTAATTTTCCTCTTCCTTACCTTTTTGATAATAGATGTCATCTCGTGGGCTGATCTTGGCGCACCTCCAACTAACTGTCGTGTGCACGTATCCAAGGTCGCTGCATGACCAACCAGCAATATTGTTCCTCCTACGAAACCAGAAGATTAAAAGCAATAAGGAAAAATTATATGATATAATAACTATTGTATTTGAAATAAGAATAAAATAATATAATAAGAAACAGAATATTAAGTAAAATAACATATTAACAAAATAAAGAAGGAAGTACAGCTACAGTATGAATTGAAAATAAACATAACACTTCCAACACATCAAGAATTCCTCATCAAAGTAAATAGCTGAAATGAATCTATTTTTGTTATGTGGTTTCTCATCTAAGGAACTCTTGACAAGTTCAAAATGTTAACAGTAATTTTGAATTCATCCTTTGACTGTACTTCCTTTTATATTTGTGTTCATGTTACTGTGTTTGACAAAATATACAATATCATATAATGGAACAAATAGTTGAAAATCTATTAAAATAACATACCATTAAACATAATCTATCAGTAATATACCATTAAACATAATCTATCAAAATAATACACCATTAATCATAACAAGAAATTTGGGAAGTGATAGAGTGAGTGTCTGAAAATGAGTGATAAAGAAAGTGAGGAATAGGGAGAGAGGAAGAGACAGAGGGATTCTGAGATTGGTTCTGACTCCTTCAAGGGTATACCCTCTAACTGCTGTGGAATGACCAATCATGGCAATGTGCCTGAAACATTGCAGTGTGTTGACCTATGTCATGCACCTTTGCACATGACTTCCAACCTTCTCCTTGATCTGTACAACTGGTCCACACCGAGTCATGATCCAACTCCAGGGCCAATGCTGGGCCTACCTCTGTCTGGCATACCTTTGCACTACTGCCCCAAACCTACCGTCTACAATAAAACCTTGGAACCAGACCATGCATTTCCCTGCACCACCAACGTGGAGGGTACAACAACAAACCCTTCACAAACTGGTGCCAGCGGTAGAACCCCAACAAGAAGTGGTCTGAGAACTGCATAGAAGACATTCATCTTGGCAATGAGTATCATGGAGAATAGCACACACCTACTAACCCACACCAGCTGTAATCATTGTTAGTTTGGGTAACAACTCTAGATTGACCCCGGGCAAGGCTAGTGGCCTAAGCTGACCCAAGATGGACGGAACCCATGCTAAGCCACCCAAAAGGAAGGGATCACATTATGATTGACCCAAAAAAGGCATCTTCAAGTTCTAGTCACATTGCGCCATGCCATAACACTGTCCACATCCTTTGGCCGTCTTCCGCAGAGTGACTGTGCTAATACTTCGAGATACATATCCCACCACTGCCACCAGTCTGTGAGCTTTTGCCCATTTTGCACATGACCTCCAACCTTCTCTTTGACCTGTACAAACACTCCACATCGAGCCATGATATAGCTCTGATGCTAACTTGTCCTGAGGGCCTCCACTCCAGGCCCCATGCTGGGCCTACCTCTGCTCAGTACGCCTCTGCTCTACCGTCCCAATGCTAGCATCTAAAATAAAACCTTGGAACCAGACCATGTTTCCCTGTACCATGAACACAATAATATACTCCTCATACAGCTCATCGAGAGAGAGAGAGAGAGAGAGAGAGAGAGAGAGAGAGAGAGAGAGAGAAGAGAGAGAGAGAGAGAGAGAGAGAGAGAGAGAGAGAGAGAGAGAGAGAGAGAGAGAGAGAGAGAGAGAGAGAGAGAGAGAGAGAGAGAGAGAGAGAGAGAGAGAGGGGGGGGGGCAGAGGTCAGAGGGGTGGTGCTGCACTAACCTTGAGCTTGAGTTGTATTAATAATACTCTGGGTCACATAAGCATTTCTTCCATAATACTGCTCACAACTTTCATGGGTGTCCTTGACCTCCTCCTTCCGGATAAGGGGGTCATAATTACGATTTATGTTAAACCCTGCCTCAATCAGCTCATCTAAAGTCATCCAAACAGGTAAACCATCTTGATACCAAGCCAGCCATTCAAACAGGCCAGGCTCAATATTAATTGGCATTCGTTCTGCAATACCCAATCCTGGAAAGTTTTAATAATCAAAGATTAACTGTAGAAAATAAAAGAATGATTGCTATATCAACAGTTTGTACTTAAAACCTTATTTGAGTAAATTTGAAATCAATGTAATGTGTCAAGTCACCTTTTAAAATATTGGTGCATGTCTGAACACAGCGCAGAGATGGGGAACAGAAAACATGATGCACCTCTGTACTGGAGTTTTTCAAAGCTTGTCCCACTAGAGTGGCTTGCAGCAAGCCAATATTTGTTAAAGGACAGTCTTTATAGAAGCTGTGTGGTGCTCCTACCCGGCATGGGAGTTTTTCTGGCATGTTCAGATCTCGACGAGTATAAACTCCTGATTTAATGAAAAGTGAAGAAAACAGAAAAGAATTTAAGAATATAGGTCAGTGGGAAAATTACTTTACAAGCTTTCACTTTATAAAGTGCAATTCCATTTCTAAATATGTTTGTTATTACAAAATTTCATATAATTTGTTAGACATAATTGACTTATTTGATTAATCAAATATATTTCAGGGAGTAAATCTACTTCAAATGACAAACTGTCTTATATTAGGATAAAAGTTCAGTACGTATGAAACAAATCCTGTGTTATTCAAGGGAACCGTCCCTTTCCCATCATTAAAGCATATAAAATTCTTAACAAAATAAACCTCCTTATCCTAAAATGAATAAGACATTACATTACTAAGCCTAATCACAATAAATAAAATTCTTAGTCCTAAAATACTCGGACCCTCCTGCAAGAACTACTGTTAGCAAGGGAGCTACTCTAGTACTGACCTGTTTCATCAAAACAAAAGCGTATCCAGTCGCCAAAGGTAAAGTCAACTCTCTCCCCATGACGAGCCACGATGATCTTTCTCGGGCCTTCAATTGGAAACTTGTAAAGGGGAGCATCTTTCTTTGGCTTTTTCACCTGTAAATGAATAAAAATACCATGAGAGAGAGAGAGAGAGAGAGAGAGAGAGAGAGAGAGAGAGAGAGAGAGAGAGAGAGAGAGAGAGAGAGAGAGAGAGAGAGAGAGAGAGAGAGAGAGAGAGAGAGACAGACAGAGAGAGAGAGAGACAGACAGACAGACAGACAGACAGACAGACAGACAGACAGACAGACAGACAGACAGACAGAGGGAGGAGGGAGGGAGGGAGGGAGGGAGGGAGGAGGGAGGGAGGGGGGAGGGAGGGAGGGAGGGAGGGAGGAGGGAGAGGGAGAGAGAGAGAGAGATATGGGGGAGGAATAAGCATATTTGACTTTGTAAAGGAATTACAAACCTACCTTGGCATAAAGAGCATCTAAAGCTTCATATTTTGGCAACAAAGGTGATTGGTTTGCCTCTAAGGAAGCCTGTCGAGAATGTAAACGATCCATTGATGATGATTCTGAAAGCACTTCAGTTGAGCGTCTTGAGCCTTCACTGTTTTCAAGAAGGTTCAGCAAAGACAAGGAAATTGGGGGACGGCGTGGGAAAGTTGCCGTTTCCAGCCCTTCTAAACCGGAGTTGCCTATAACTGGAATTGCCCTGTGTTTACAAAGAAACATATTGTAGAAAAGTGATGGAGTTTAACATTTAGCTTTAACTTTCGTCAAAAGAAAGTTAAAATCAAACTGTATAAAAATAATTAATAAATATTTATGAATCCATAACATGCTAGATATCATAAAGCCCTTGGGTACACATAAAAAAATCTTTACTCTCATATTCCACATAAAAATATAAAACATTAACTAAATACGGCTATCTACACGAACTTACTTGTGAAGTGTCCATGCATCTGATTCAGCTGTACGTTCAATATAGTTAATAGGCAAGTAACCTGTACTCCCAGTAAGCCACGATGTTCCTTCAACCCATCCATCAGGTGATGTACCCAAACCGTCTCCATTAACATAAACAAAATCGCCGATGAGCAGCTCAAGTTCATCTGGTTCTCGAGGGACATGAGAATATAGGACTTTGTGGACCTGCAAAGAAGTAAAATTTTCTTAACTCAGTTTGTTCCTTTATTCACTGTTTGACTATACTGATTATCAGATGAAAAGAATCAAAATCAGTTTTCATGTTCATTCCCAGTTTGCTGATTGTGCTAAGCAGATGAATCAAACAAAAGCCTTGACAGCCAGATTCATTCACAGTTTGCTAATTATGCTTGTGAGTTATAATACAGGAAAGCCTGACATGTGAGTTCATTCACAGTTTGCTCTTTCTTAGCAAATGAAACAATCAGGAAGCCCAACTAGTGGTTTCACTCATAATCTGAAGATGGTGCTTATCAGATGAGGATAACAAGAACTTATATGTTTGTTCAGCATAATGACTTGCTTACTAGATGTACCAAAGGTAAATTCTGATTGCTTGATTTACTGTGTGATTATAAAATTTACCAGATTCAACAAAAAAAACCCTTGATGGATGTGTTCACTAACAGCCTGAGAAGAATACTTGTCAGATATAATTACAGGTATGAATGACTTTTAAGTTTTAAAGGCTGTGCTGCCTTGTTTGAGCTTAGAAATAAGTATCCCCTTACAACCAAGTCACCTTAGTACACCACCAGCTTTTAAAAACTAGCGGGCTGTATTCCTCTTCCTATTTGGGGGATATAGTGAGGAAAACTAATATATCTGCTACTGTTTGGGTTATGTCTTCTAGCCCCCCTCTCCCTATACCCATTGGGCCTTCTCTTGTATGCCTTGGTCACATTTCTTCCCA